TAACCATGTTGATATAAGATTTCCAGAGAGATCTTTAAATCAACTATCACAGTTTCTGAAATGAAGTAAAAAATAAGATGCATTAGAGAATGATTTGTTTAGAATTTTTGTTTTGCCCGTTATTTCTAGATTTTTAGATTTTTTTTTACAAAGTCTACAAGACACAGGGCGTCTTGTCTGTTGCATGCACCCTGAATGCATTTTGGCTGAGTTCTTCCATCTCCCGCAGGGCATTATTTTCGTTATCTCTGTTAACTCGGTTTCCATTGAGTTATCATGCAGGCAAATGTACATGCTTCAATGATTACAATGCACTATCAGTGATCTGCCACCCATTAATCAATCATTTTCTTTCTGGGTCACAAGAGGGCGCTATTTAGATGTAACACTTTCTCATGCTATGCTTTATGCTGTACAGTCTTGAGTGTTGTGTTGTGAATGCTGTATGTTATAGTGTAAGTTTTATCATTTATGTATCTGTTGCATCATTATTGGTAGATTCATCCTGCCAAATGTACTTAGATGTGGTGCAGGTTTTTCTTTTGGCATTTACAATGCCTGCAGAACAAGGATTCTGTGTGTAGATCTTTAAACTTCTTCACTTTCATCTGAAGTCGCTTGGTTCTGAGGTCATTGTAAAACTGAATATTCAAAAGGGTAATATTAAAACGCATCATGAAATGTTGTAGAATTGATAAAAAAAAGTTTTTTAGTGCTCAAATTTGATACCGGTAACTTCAGCCCAGAATTTCAGACAAAAAAAAATGGGCAAGTACTGCCCAGAAAATATTAGCACATCTTGCTTTGTGTTTTAGAATTTGGAGAGGATTGTGCAAGACATTTTTGTTGGTCATACATGTAGTTGTCTACAATTGTCCACCATGCACAAAATACTCATGGAACCTTTTTTTTTTCACTTCTCTACTCATTAGACATTCAAGAATTCTATGAAGCTACACTTATGGATGGGAGCAAAAGTATTAACCAGAAAACCATGGAAACGCTGGAGGTTGCATCCAAATGGGAGCAGCAAACTTACACAACGCCTGCCCGAATGCCCATTGACAACTCTCCCGTAAGTACAAAACTTATGACTTTTAACAAAGATGCAAAGCACCTCAAAATGAGTGATCTTAGGAATGCCACCATTAAAAATGAATGGCGCCCTCTGTTGTTCAAGAAATTAAGCACAACAAAGAAATTTGTTCCAGTTCCCCCAACATTGCCGTTGCTGTTGCCTTGTGTATTGAAAAAACAATGTGATACGGTACCATGACTGAAGCCTTTACTCGTATGAATTTGTTTGTCTATTCATTTTTGGTCTATCAATTTCTTATCACCTAGGATGAAGAAATTATGATGTGATGGACACTAACCCTTGGACCTGAATTCCTGTTTTATTTTCAAAATTAAATAATTTTTTTTTTTAAATGTACAATGGGTTGTCATGTTTATTGTAACTCAAACAACCGATTTATTTCTGCTTGTAAAATTGTTGGATCTCAATGAACTTGTGGAAGTGATTGGCCAGTGAAGGCCACTATCTTATCCAAAGGCCACTTAATGTGACTGGCTTTGACAGCCAGTCACATTAAACATGGTGTACAGGTACATCAGTACCGGGGTAAATTTCATCCTATTGTGATCACATTGAGATTTTTCAAAACCCTGTGTTGGACATTGTACAATGTTGTGTCTTTACTGTGGGTAAGACTTGCACAAGTTTAACTTGTTCTTTTTCAATACCCAACGAGGTTATACGATGTTACTGACATCTGGCTTCTGAATCAGGTCAGAGGTCATTATTTCAACCTCAAAGTCCAGGAGATCAATGTTATATCCAGCTGTGTGGCAGTGATACAGGTAGGTTTCTGAGTTTCTACATCAGGTTCTGGAACACAGAGCTGAATGGAATACCGAATATATCAGCTGGATACAATCAGCCTCCTGAATTGAATGCTGGGATTTCTTCAGGTTCATGTTTCTCGCAACGTTTGTACATGGAAATAACTTTTGATTGTTTTTACAACATTTGGTTTCATTTGTTCCATGTTTTGATGGAAAACATTCTGCAGAATCACTTGTAAGGGATATACCGGACATGGACATATATTTTGCTCTTTTTCTCTTCAACTTCATAATTTCTGAGTGACTGTAACCTTCATGTATAGTTGAAAGATTGGCTGATGCCACAATGCAAACAGCCACCCGAGCTGTTGTAATCAATGCCATCCATGACCCCCTACTCACTCCATCAATTTTCCTCCTTTTGCTTTATGTCTCCCCCACCCTTCACCATCCATTAGTCATTGGTATCTCTTCGATCTACCCATGCTGAGATGGTCCAGTTATAATCTGGCCTTTTCTCTGTGCAGTTTCAACATTAATGTTATGTCATGCGTGTTTTCTAAAGGTGTCAGGTGCACTTCTGCTGTGTATATTTATGCCATCACTCCCTGTGAGGGGAATTTAATATTGCGACGCTATCTGTATTTTTTCCTCAAAATAGTTAATTGGCAAACCTGAGATGCTGTGAATCAATTTGACCTCACAGTTAGTGTTGCGGCTTTTCTTTCTGTTGCCGTAAAGCATGACCTAAAATTGATCGAAATGCTGTTTGTTTGAAGAAATATTCATGGAGTTCATCTGAACTTTTTCAAATTGAGGTAAGAAACTACGGTCTGAGCAAATGGTTGAGGGCGCTATTCATAACATAATCATCTCACTACCACTGATAGTAGTGACAGTTTCTCAGAGGTGAGGACAAAAAATGAAGGAGTCATCTTGCTCCGTTCAGTCATATCCTTGCTCTATGATTCAGAAGATTGATTGTGCCTGCTAAGTCATGTGACCTACCGGTATTTTGGGTATCAATTTACAGGGTACATCAACAAGCGTGGCATCCTCCCATAGCACAGTGTGTTTGGAGTGTGGTTAACAAAAAAATGAAGCCGATTTTCGGTTTCTTCCTCAGCACATCAGAAGTCTGAGTATGTGGTAAATTACACTTATGACGCTCGCTGCTATAGGATTACACCATGTTTATTGATATTTGATACGCACTATACATGTACATCACATGGCTTAGTGGGCGCAATCGATCTATTCCCTAAAATGATCAAAATGACAAGTACTGTACTAACTGCCATCAGCTCCGTGCAGGAACAACAAATGAAGGCGTGGTTTGCAAAGCAATGACAGCCCTTCACTGGGAACTTCCCATATGTGCAAACAGGATTTGCATGTTTGGTGTAGGACGTGCTGAGAAAGATGTGACCAGTTTCTGTTTGAACTTGTACCCTGAACTGCAAGGTACATGTACATGTATGTACCGTGGATGCATCAATGAGACCACTTGGAAACTTGCCTCTAGCATGTCTTGCCTTTGCCAGAGAGGGTGCACTTCGGCTGGGGGGGGTGGGGAGATCTATGCTGAGTAATTTCAAGCTCATATCATTATCTACGTGATTGTGACTGTAGCAAACAAGAATCTGCCTCCTGAAGTCGTTCAGAAGATTGTTTTAATCCAATTTGTAGGAGATAGATTCAGGTACAGGTTACATGTACATGTACCACTGACTTTCATTTGAAATTGTGTACTGTGTACATTGTCATTGTGTTGGATCTAGATCTAGATGTTCACTGACAGATTGTACATGTACCATTCGAGTTTTGCATTTAATTCCATAACTCCTTTGTTAATATGTAATAAAGGAAGATGTCAGTGGCCTCTAATGCATCTTCTAGTGGGTGGTCTTAAATCTGGATGCCGGCTTTCCCAAGTGATCACCTAATTACTGACCTTTGAGAGATGAGTGCCTGACTAGCAATGATTGGAATCTGTGCAGTGAGCTGACAAGGACATTATAATTATGTCCATGGACTAGTAATGTATGTATGTCAATGTCTTAAAGTTAAGATGAACCCTCGGGTAGGGCTGATGGAACTACAAATGGAGGAATGGAGGTATTAATCTTCTTCAATCTTGCCATCATGAATAGAGTTTCTGAACTGATATTATTGGAATTTTGAGGCCTCCATCTGGTATCTACACCAGTTTCTCAGTGTCTTCAAAAAAATCTTTCATCACCATTTGTGCTCACAGTACCAGTACATGTACCGATAGTTGATATGATGACAATTAACTGAGAAAAGAACAATTTGGCAAAGAGACATGAAGTGGCTCCGGTTAGTTTCAATTGAAAATGAATAAGTGACTGCGTGATCAAATCCATATTATGTACATGTGCATACTGTAGGCCTGCATGTTCATGTTATTCTTGGTAACTGATGTGCTCCTGATGTGTTCACTTGTTTCGTTAAATTAGAAACTGGATACCGAGCCACTTTTGAAATATTTGTTGCTGGTGGTGACATATATACTTCAACTCAGCTTGGATTACTTCATCTAGATTGGATGAAACAGAAATGACCTGCTTGCCTGATTTATCCCAGGAACTTAAGAGTTGAGTTTCAGTATGAATGACCTGCTGCAGTTCATTGTCAAATCGTGAAATCTTCCCCCCCCCCTCAACTTATTTGTTTAGCAACTGGAAGCTTGAAAAAGTTGTCCTGTTTTGATGGACTTCTCTTTGCCCATCAGACAAATGAAAATCCCCAGTAGTTATTTGGACTGAGTCATGCATGTGCTGCAATACAGCCCCTGCAGTCTTGGAATACCTGATCCCCCCAAATGACCCAAGCAACCCTTGGTAGCTGGTTGTGAGGACGATGACTGTTTATTGCTGGAATGTCTACCAGACTGGCCTGTGTTGTGATCCATAGGTTTGCTCACATAGAGCGTAACCCTCCATGAAGGTACACACACACAGGTACAAATGTACATTGTACCTGCACCAGCACACTGCACCGGCATACTTGTGCTGCATGTACCATCCAGACATCATTCTGGTACATTGTTTATCAGTAGTTGTTTAATTGAGAAGATGTTGCGACAGAGAACAGTCACGTTTCGCTGTCTGACTCCTCGCACATCTCATTTCTCTTACATACATGTAAGGCTCTTCGGCCTCAGTGTAATTTGTACATGTCTTGGAGACCTTACCCCAACCACGATCTTCTCATAGTTGTAGAGTGAAATCCCAGTAACATTACCGACAAATTTCAGATCGAGGACAGATGCTGTGTGGAAGTGTCTAGTGATCTTATTTTGCTAAGAGCCATTCTTGCGTTCTTCCAGTCAACCGTCTGTTTCCTCCTGTCTCAGCACACCATGACTGCAGCTATTTATGGAAGCAGAGATTTGTGTACGCGCTGCAAGCACAGACAAATAAACAGCTGAAGCGCCGGAAATATCAGAGTTGTCTCTTCGTGCACTATGGATATGATTTTTTCTCTCCTGGGACAGTTACCGCTGTTCGACAGTGTGATTACTCTCTCAAGATTTACTCACCTGTCTTAAATCTTCTTGTGAGTTTGGGCATTTGGCAATAACTCGGGAAAGCTCATATGGGGATAATACGGCAACTTTTCTTGTGATGCACGTTGACCTCCATTACATCACTTCTTACTACACATGGCAAACATCAAACTCTCTGTATGCCATCTGGAGAACATCAAGACTTTGTGGTTTTTTTGTGATTGGGTACAGTTGACAGTGTCGCCACACCTGAAATATTGGAATCAGTAGAATTTGTCTCTTTCTGTCAGAGAAAGAGCCCCCCTCTCTCCCTTCTCCCCTCCCCCTCCTCCTTGGATGACATCTACAGCTTAGTCTGATCGGAGTGAGTATTCAGTGGTTGGAATAACAATGACTGCATTGTGTACCACAAACTGAGGTTCATGTAGAACTACAGTTAGTAAGTGGCCTCTGGGAATCTACTGTACATGCACTTGAACCTTAACATGGAAGTTGTCATGGTGACAGGAAATTTGAGAACCACTTCTACTTCTGCAGAATTTGTCGGTTCCGGAAAAGATTGTCTTTGAGTGAACTGCTTCATGGTCTGCTTGCTCATCAAGATGGAAGTGATATAATGAGTCTTTTACATTACCAGTTTTCATCATTGGTGAGGCTTGGTTTGAGTTTCACTCATCAGTCCCATGCTGTGATAACACGACTATTCACCACGTTTTAACTTCTGCTACTGCACTATTGTTGTCAAAGTTGTTTTTCCCAGTAACTGCATTGCGAAAGGATTCCAGGCATACAGTAATCATTAATGCATTAGTGGAAGTACTGTACATATCGTTTGAGCTGTTGATGTAGCATTACTCGGGCCCTTTGTGTGCTTAATTTGATCTCAGGAGTATTCAGTAATTGCAGATACCCAAGTGGATGCAAACAAATTGTTTCACAGAGCGTGAACGTGGCAAGCTCGTCATCTCCAAAGATAATCCTATGCGCTAAACTATGAAATCTCCACATACTGAATTATGAATAATAAAGAAGTCGGCGAGGCATTTTGCACCAGACACGTAGACCATGGATAACATTTCCACGTCATCAAGGGGATCTGTTGTGTCTCTCTCGGAGCCTGTGAAAATCCGTTGCTCTTACATGAGGACGGCAAGGATGCGGATGCGTTTTGGACTGTTTGCTCCACCAAAGAGAGTGTACCGAGTACCGGTAGGTGATTTCAGTTGTATATCTATGTGAAATTCCCCCCCCCCGTGTGTTTTACAGAATAAACATTGGGATTTTTACTTCTTCAAGCAGCCATAGGTTGTGACGGAAAACAAATAATGAAGAGAGTTCACCTGAACACCTGAGTACATGTAAATCAAGTACCGGTACTTCAGACTGATTGGACAGTTCATTGGATGCGTTAAAATTGAAGTGAACCTGCTTTTACATTAAAGCTGTCTTTCAGTAGTTGCTACTGTACATGTACTTGTGTCTCATTTAATAAAGTGCTTTCACATATACATGTACATGTATTCGTACTGGCTGTACGTGTTTCAAATAAGTTAAAGGGGACACAAGTCAACCTATTGACTGGTATTGATTTGACACAAGAGGGCGCTTTTTGCACATTCAGTGAAGCTCTACATTTTTGTGCTTTCTTGGTCACAGCTCTTTTGTGCATGTACATGTTGGCGCTTCCTGATCCTTGTGATGGATCTGCAGCTTCTGATTGGACCCAAATACATGGACATTGTTTCACTTCATTGAAACATTGTTGGGGAATCTTGACTCTTGCATAATGAGAGATTTTATTCAGGTGTTGGATGTGTTCAGAGCAAATTTGAAACAACGTGTTGCCGTTTGCCAGAGCCACTTTTTGGGGAAAAATGCCTTAAACATGTGAAGAATCTTGTACAGTGTAAATCAACAAGAACCAGCATCATATTTTCACCCACAATAACATTAGTGTCTATTCCATAAGCAATGGTAGAAAGGCATTGTGCAAAATCACCCATGCAGTATTTGCGGTAAGGCTTATAAAGATGCAGAACTGAGTGATAGATCATAAAAGACAATGCAAACTGAAACAAATTTACTGTAAAAAGTTGTCTTGATTCTCTTTATGGGATCCACAAATACACAGGTACCCCTCTCAATTTGGTCATATTTTGTCTGGATGAAAAGACAAGGTGTTGTGTCCTGTCCATAACTCTGAAAGGAGCATTTCAGTAAGAATGGCAGTGTGCGTTTATCATAAACATGGTGAAAATTTTATCGCATCAGTCTGTGATGTTGACCAAGTTTTGTTAGTGACTACTGTTGGTATTGGGTCAGTTTGGTTGGAGTTTCACTAACCATTCCAACTTTTGTTTTTTTTCCCAAGCCACACACAGTTCTTTGTGATTTCCTTTAAAGAAGTTTCCTGCACCTAGTAAAAAATCTTTAACAGCTCTATAAAGCAATGACACTATTTTGGGAGTGAAAACAAAATTTGACTCTGTAGGGGGCATGGCCCGTTCTTTAATCTTTTTTACATGTAGGTGCAAAATAGGTAGCATGAAAGAGAAAATGTGAGAGTTGATGACAAACTTGAAAAAACACACCTGCGTATGGGCCAGCACTTCAGTCTTATGTCAACACTATGCAGGCTCTCTGGTCATGCTTCAACACTTTGCACAATTGATCAACAGTCATCAGTTTATGTAGGCTGGTAATCCAGACCTCATTCATGACGCCATGATACCTCAACAGGCATAGGTCAGAGGTCATCACTCAGGTCACATGGGGTAGATTCCAAACGGGACTCATGTGGATCTTATGGGAACTGCAAGGTAGATTGTTAGCATTTTAACATTGAGCTATAGCATAACCAAGGGAGCACAGGTTGTCAGTATTTTGAAGACCTGTGCCCTGAGGCAACCAAAGCATCGTGTTACACAGTTTTTCTTAGCAGTAGCTCCGCTGCACCGCCTACTTGAAGTAATAGTATTCAGTCATGATTCCTGGATATGGTTGAAGTGCAGGGGTTTGGGAATTTGCCTTGCACAGCTGAATGATGTCTGTTAAAACAACCAACAAGAGCTGTTCCATTGGAAATCATGTGAGTTGATAGATATTTGTAATTCAGAGGAAATTGGAATAATTGTACGGGTATTTATGGAAATTTGTTCAAGTATTCTTTTCGCCTCACCAGTACTTCATCAAAGAATGAATGGAAGGGCTTGTCTTTGTTAAATTTTCAACGTACAGGTGCACATGTAGATGTTTGAGGCTATGATTTTTTATGGTGATGCCACATTTATTTTGTAACATAGCAAAATGTAGATGATTATCTATCAGAAATTCATGATCATCACAAAGAAATTGATGACTTGGCAAAAAGATTAAGTCTTAAAAATGTTTGGCACTTCCATTTATAAGAAAAATGCTTGAAAAAATTCACAATGTGTAAAAAAATTAAAATAAAATAGTAGAAGATTCTAACCAAAATTGTTAGATCCCCTTGGGAAGATTAATTGAAACAAAAGAGTGCTGCATTTATTCATGTTTTTCTAGAAATAATTTGTAAAAGTTTGTTGGGAAAATATTTTTTCAGTTCGCTAATCACAATGTACCTTCAGGGCCAATGTACATTCTTACGCACCCTTTTCCTAGAAACAAGGCATAAAACTAGGGTTATTGACCTTTCTGGATGCAGTAACAAGATGTTTGCACTATTACGAGACTGCACAAATGACTAGCTCAAGCCCTGACCATTGAAAGATATGAATTGAGTGCCAACTGGGCTGTAAAAACAATCTTGACCTCAGTTTTATTTGCATATACTGTGCATCATATGGATAAGCGATAGTTACCAGAACCTGTGCTCATATTAGGAGTTCCAACTTTTCAAAGAAAAAAAAGTGATGCATTGACCCTATTTGGAATTTATTTCTCTGTAGTAATGTCAGAAATGTGGTCATTAGAATGTAGAATATGCAGATGTTATTATCTTCAAAAAGCAAGTATTAAAAAACCCCCCAGATATTCTGCAGTTCCTGTGCAGAAAATTGAAATTGCCTGACTATGTCGATGTCTTGTTGCCATAGTAACCATCTTAGGAGCAACTGTCATTAGTCTGAAGTGAGTCCTGGACTTGATTTAGGGAATGGCTGTACTGTAAAGGATTTGAGCTTCTGCATTCTTACATGGAGTGCCTTGTGCATGAACAAGCATGTTTCCAAATGAGTTCATACAGTAATTCCTATACAGTTAATTTACTGTACATGTACACCTGCCTTTCTGAAAGAACTAAATAATGTCAAGCTGTTGATGTGTGCTTCTTGACACCAAGATATGGTATTTATTGCCTAAATATTTTGCACAGTGAAATAACACAAAACTTGAGTGCTTTTCAAGTTTTTTTGTCAGTTCGGACTTCCAAGATTTGTTTGTATTGGATATTCATTGTGTTTGTAACAGATTAAACAACTATTTTTGTTCCTGAACTTGTTTGCTCATAATGGGTCACGGTACAGCTGTTTCTTGGTAGAGACACGGTACTAACGTGTTGAAATACTTCTGTTCGTTAATGTAGTTTTATCCTGTTGCATGATAGACAGCGTCAGTGGATTTCAGGTTACTTCCAAATTTGGCCTCATAAATGTATTGCCTACTGAAAAACAGAATCCTTAAGTTGCAAATGCTGTATTTTCACTGCTGCTTCAAATGTCAAAACTGATACCAACCTTCTCTCTCAATTCTTTCATAATGCCACCTTTCATAACAGACGACCCCATTGTGTCAACCCCTTTCAATTGAAATCCAAAAGTTACAAAAATACAGTGAATAGAGATGGGAGTAGTTGCTCAGACATAATGTTCATTGTCAGTCAGTACATGGGGTAATATATTCATTTAGTGATCACAGGCTTTGTCAGAAAACTGTAGAGGTACAGGCACGTTATGATACTCGAATTTGTCCCAAATATCTGATTTTCCCTTTTCTAAATTCATTTTTATTTAAGGAAGACAGTTGTATGATTGCGAAGATTTGTTTTCATTTCATATGCCAAAAGAAGTCAGGGGATAGTACAAGATGGCCACTTGTTTTTAAGTTATTGATTTTTCTTGACGTTGGGGTATTGAATGGCAAATCCCCAGCTAGACCAGAGTTGTTTGTCACAGTGTTTGGTGCCAGTTGAAATGGATATGCACCATTCTGAAACAAGAAAGACTTATTTTTGTACATTTGAAAAGCTGGAGGTTCATAACCTGAAAAGACAGGAATTGGATGCTTATTGGAGGGAAGGGGACAAAGGAGAAAGATTAAGTTTCAGTGCAATCTCAGGTGGAAGATCTTACCTGGCTCCGGGGCACAGATTGTTTTTTGAAGATCATCTCCTTACAAAAGACCAAAATTTAAAATTTGCCTGCTAGTAATCTACAATGTATTACTAACCACTTTCTTCATTCTGTTCATGATTGGAGGAGTTCCTTGACAACAACAGGGATCAGGCTGCCATGGAAATGCATATGCCAAATTAGAAAGTTCTACCGTGTTATTTGAAGGACTGAGTAACAAGAGAAGGAAATACTAGTAGGATTGCTGGAATATTTTGTTACCAAGATAATAGAATTTCATTTGCACAGGCCATTTTTCTGGAAGTTTCTAGACTTTACATCAGCAAAATGATTATGTAATAGAAGTCAAGGATCTGGTTAACTCATTAACTTGATCACGCTGACTATACCCTTTATAATAAGCTAACCTGCATAAATCACCCTTCTAGTTGAAAGCTGCTTTTATTTTCCCTGTTTGGAAACCTGAAACAGATAACACTTTCTGACATTTATTTGTATATTTTTTACCTCCAGCAAAACAAACCCCATGAACCACATCTAGACAAAAATAACTAGAAATATTTGATGAAAAAATAAAACTCTGAGCAGCAATTCTGAGAAAATGTTTAATTCTTTCGTCTCAGTTTGACGTTTGTGTATTTATATGAAAGTTCGAATCCATGCATACGAAAGTAGAATAGCCAAGGCTAATCTTTTCCTGACTTACATTAGGCAGCTCTGACGTAATAGCGTTAGTCAGTCGTATGGTTGACCGCTACAGACCAGTGGCCTTTGTGGACCAGGAAACATTGGTATACGGGGTGATAATGTTCGATTAATTCCTGTCTTGTGGTGATTTCTTGTACAGGTAGGTGGGCGGTTTAGGAACCCAGAATTCAT